GCACCAAATGTGGAGAAGCCTATCTTTTTATTGTCGCAGCCATAGGTGTAAACATGATGGCAAAGCATAGAAAAGGCTCTCTTTACCACAGATGGGGTGATACATGCAAGCTCTTCCACATCCATAGCCAGAGGGTTTACCATTTATTGATTAGATTGCCACTTACAAAATAGCCTATTAAATGTCTGACAACAACCATTTAAAGAGACTGCTCAACAGTTGAAAGCTCTTACAATCTGCCACGCTTTAAATGTTGAGGCAGAATACTGCAGTTAGAATCCCAATGCTAAAACTGGAAATCTGGAGAGTTCAAAATGTCCCCCAGATCCCAAATCTGCTTTATTCCAAGCCCAGCCAATGGACTCCCTCCGCCCAACTGTTCACTGCTGGCCTGGCAATATGGCTCCCATAAAGGTATTTCAAAACCAAGCTCCCCTTCCCTTGACTCTCAATTAAACTGGGCCTATGCTACCCTCTTATCCCTGCAGTAACCTGATGTCCTGCTTCTTTTCCTGGGATGAACTGTGGGAGGCTTCTTTTCAGGGTGAGCAGCGCTCTTAGCTGTTGCTAGGAAACAGCTCCTCACTCCGCACAACACGCGGCTGATGGCAGCAGCTTTTTTGGATACTCCCTCCTTTCTCTCGATTCTAGCCATGACCTGTGCAGTTAAGAATCTAGCAGCAAACCTGATTTTTTAACTGGGTTGTGGTGGAGTTGCAGTCGCAAGTGTGTGCCAAAGTCCAGAGCATTAGGAGACTGTGCTACCCTACAGTATGGCACATCTGCAGGCTCCCAAAGTCTTGGGGCTTGTGCACACTTCGAGGAAGCTGGGGTCCATCCAAGCAGTTTTCTGTTTGCATTGCCACTTTCCCCATTAAAATCCGCTCTTTGGTGCTGAATTGGAGCAAATGACATTCCACAGAAAACCTGATGGACATTTGCTCCGACTGAGTGGTAAAAATCGAGTTTCCCTGTGGGAAAGTGGTGGGACACGTAGAAGTCTAGATAAGCCTTTAGTGTGATCTTCCCCTCAGTGTCAGTGTTTCTCAAACAGTAGGCCAGGGCCAAGTGGAGATCTGCCCACTTCCAGGTAGGCCTCAGTGCCTCCCTCACTTGCCCATACCACCCCTTCACTGTGGTGAAATATTTTGGCTGGAGACCTGGAGCAATATCAGCACCAGCAGTTCCCCACATATTGTGTAGAGGTGAGGAAGGGTGAAGGTCAGAGATGTTGTTGAACGAAATTAGAGAGATAAAAGGTTAATCTTTGTTTAAGAATAATACGAAATGGGGGGGGGGGTAGAAGAAAGGGGACATAAGAAACTGTTATGAGGGAAGAAGTGACTGTAAAAGGACAGGGAATGAAAGAGAGGCAGCTTGGGTGGCAGATAGAGTACAATACAAGTGTGACAGGGAAGAAATTGCAGGAGGTGAATAAAAATATTTTGAGAGGCATGGGGGCGGGGAGAGCATCCCATTCCCACCGTGGCCACCCAGATACCTGTGGGAAACTTGCAAGCGAGACCTGAACACAAGAGCGCTCTCCCTTCCAGTGACTTTCAGCAACAGGTACTGTATTTAGTTGCATTACTGCCTCTGACTGAGGAGCAGCCATTGATAGCCTTCTCCTCCATGAATATGTCCAGTCGTCTTTTTAAACCATCCAAGTTGGTGGCCTATGAAGTTATTTCATCTGTCCTGAATTGCCAAACATCCAGCTTTACTGGATGTGCATGAGTTTTAGTGTCGTGAGAGAGGGAGAAAAAGTTTTCTCTATCCACTTTCTCTATGCTATGCATAATTTTATAAACGTCTGTCATGTCGCCTCATTACTCACTTTTTCGCTCAACTAAAAAGTCCCAAATGCTGCAACCTTTGTTGTGCCCCCCCTTTCATTCCCTTGATCATTTGGGCTGCCCTTTTTTCAACTGTTTCCAGTTCTACAATATCCTTTTAACCAGAACTGTACACATTATTCCAAATATGGTCACACCATAGATTTGTATAATGGCATTATGATACTGGCAATTTTATTTTCGATTCCGATATGATGCAGGGTCTAACATAACTAAAGTATGCTAGTAAAACCAGGGAAATATGCTAGAAGGCTCCGGTGTTCAGTAGATTTTTGCTGAAGAATGGGCACCCGCAAGTGGCCTGTTCCAGTAGGAATACAATGTTCCATGCACAACGCTGAGTAAGTCCCAGTTCCTACCCACACACAGGAAGTGCCATTCTGGGTCACATTCCACAGGGGGCAACAGCCACAGCACAACAGAGCTGACTCACGACATGTAACTGTTTGCTCTCTCGGAGTCTATCCCATGATGCAAGTGAAGATTCCCGGACAACTCAGTGATGGCAAGGAGTGTTCATTCTTCTGTAGCAAAGGGAGCAGTCAAGTAGGTACATCAGGACCCTTAGCAACTGAGAACACTTGACATCTATTTCTTGCATCACACAGCTCCCCATGCCCAACATGGCTGCTGACTTTGCCTGGTATGCTGCATGTAACCACTTGGTAAGCTGCTTGCCAGTGCTGTCTTGCTAGGTGGCAAGGGATTATTTTTTTTCGTCACACCCATGTTGTCCAGACACCTTGGGCAGCAGGGAGGTGGTAACATTCTCAGCACCAGAAAGCAGGACATTAGAGAGATTTCAGATTGGTGCCCAAGGTGCCCTGGGGTGAGCTCTCTCAGACTGGGACAATGTGGCCACCTGGGTGATGTGGCAGCATGCTTGCCCAGGCACATCCTGTGGGTCTGTCAAGTGGTCATGCCACTTTGAGGATGCAGCTCAGTGGAAGAGCATCTGCTGTGCATGCAGAAGGCCCCAGGTTCAATTCCTCGCATCTTGAGGGACTGTCCCTCATCTAAAAGCCTGGAGAGCCACTGCCAGTCAACACTGAGCACCAATGGCCTGACTCAAGTTTCAAGCCAGCTTCCTATGTGTGTCCACTGTCTCCCTTCCTCGCCATTTCCTTTAGGGTGAGCCATACCCAAGTCCCAATACCCTTGCTTTGCCCCTACCCTGTGGTGAGGTGACAAGGTTATCTGTCCACTTACATTTCCCTGACAGGACTCCTCACAGCTCCCCTTCCCCAGGCTTCGCCAGGCAGGCACGACACTTTTCATTAACTACTACTGAGTGGCAGCTTCGTGTGTTTCTCCCGGCTCTGTCACCATGACAGCAGCACAGAGAGGCCTGCAGGCTGCATTATTGCTGCCATGGTGTGTGCGCCCCCCCCCGCACCCCACCCTGCTTGCTTCTCTGCAGTCAGGAATGACAACTGTCAGCTCTGCAGAGAGCACATGGCTGAGGGGAGGAGGCATTGCTGACCAGCCCCAGGCTCTTCCACAGGGCTCCTTGCAAATCCTGCAGTAACAATGACCCAGGCAGCCCTTCCAGGCACTATTGCCAGCCCTCTCTGGTCCATGGGGTGAAACACAGCTGGCATCATAAATGAGGAAGTGTGGTGCAGTGACCCTTCCAAACAGCTAATTGGGTCTTTACAAACGAAACATTAAGAAACCTCTGCGCTTGATGGTGTGCAAGTGGTTAAAGGCCAGGCTCTGCCATGCTGGCAAGTTGGGTGTTTGTAAGGGGTGATGAGAGACTTTACAACCCCTAGTTAGTAAATATCCCTCACACCTCCCAGACGGTCTGCAGGGAGGTTAGTCAATGGGCAGAAATGGTGGCTGAAAACCACAAAGCAAGGGTTATTGACATTCCTGACTTGTTCTTTATAGCAATAAGTCACCAGCTTTGGGGGGAGCGGATCTGTTGCACAAGACCTCCATGTATGACCTGGGATTTGTGCCAGTGCAGTGTGTGATTATCCCACCGCAAAAACCGGCAGCAGTCGGGAAGCACCCTCTCTTGAACAAGGTGTCGGATTGCTGGCCAAGCCATGCCTCATCCCACTGGAGGCCTCCCTTTGCTACACCCACCCCTCCTTTCATACCCACCCTTCACATTTGGGTTAAGAAGGAGAGGGGGCCAGGTAGGGGAAGGGGAAATTTGGGCATGGGCTTTCCATTGTTAACCCTTATCTTGCACCATTTTAAGGAGAGCCTTTCGACACACGCTTCACTTAACTGGGTCCCCTGGTGGACACCTGCACTGGGCATTCCAGAAGAGGAAGGAAAGGCCATGCCACATTAAGAAGGAATCCGTCTATCTACAGGGGGCTTCCAGAACCCAGATCTGAGAATAGCAGGGGATCTGCAGCATGTGGGTCTTCCCAGCGCGGCGCGGCCGGTTTTAGGTAGCCCGGGGGTCTTCCCCAAGACAAGCCTTTTCTGCTTTCTTGAGGCTGTGCTGTGTTGCTGCCCACCAAGACAAGAGCCTAGGAATAGATTTCCTCTTGCGTCTGTGTGCGTTAGGCTGCCTGGCGTTCTCCCCACCTCTGCGCCCCCCGCTTTGGCCCTGACGTGCCGAGGCTACAGTCGTGACGTCGGGAGGAGAGGGAGAAGCCCGCCCGCATCGGAAAGGACAGCGAGGGAGCCAAGCGAATCCCGGCAGGAAATTCCAACGAGGAGCAAAAAAAGAAAAAAACAAGCGAGCAAAGGAGCCCCCAAGATCAGCGAGCCCCAGGCGCTGCCGCCACTGCTGTTTGACGCCTCCCGGCGACCCCCACCGCACCCCACTCCGGACGGCCTTGGAGTCCCGGGGTTTCTCCTAGGAAAGACCCGCGCGCCGTCCCCACGAGGCTGCAAGCCCCCCGAAGTGGGCAGGAAGAGGCTGGCGAGGGCCGCCGCCGCCGCCGGAGGGAGGAGCCAGAGGGCGGGGCCGGCAGAGCAAGCGAGGGAGCGAGAGAGCGAGGCAGGAGCTGGAGAGAGAAGAAAGAAGAAAGGAAGAGACGCGCGAGCGCTTGCGGCGGCGGCGGAGGAGACAAAGGGAGAGCCCGGCACCGCCCGCGTGGAGCTGCCGCGCCGGGCAATGGGCAAGGCGAGAGGCAGCCCACACGCCTGACGCCGCGCTCTCCTGGCCGCGCCTGCCCCAGCCCCGCTCCACGCCTCACCGAAGCCGAAGGGATGGCTCTGCCGGCTTCCCGAGATGGGGCTCCTGCGGGCGATCCCTGATCTCGGCGCTGGAAGTGACGGTGAGAACGAAAAAGGCGAGAGAACCTGTGGGAGGCACCGGGGGCCCATCGAGGCGAGGCACCAGCACCAGCCACCTGCCAAGCGAGGCTCCTCTGCGCTTAGCTGCCTGTCTCCTGCTCTCTTCTCCCCCACCCCTCAGCTGCCCACAACTGGTGGAAGGGGCCCGGCCGGCCGCCCCTCTCCCCACGTGCAGCTGCCCCTTAAGGTGCCAGCAGACAGGACTGATGGTCTGCTCGCCCCCAAGCGAGCGGGGCGACCCCAGGGAAGACCCTCCGGGCTTGCAGCTTCGGCGCCTCCTGTTGCTTGGGCACCTGGGGACTTGGCATAGCTGGGGAACGTGGCGGCGTCACCCGGCGCTGGCAATGGACTTGCTAGGAGGCGGTTGGCAGGTTGGGGAAGGAACGCGGGGGGGGGGGGGAGAGGCAGGAGAGAAGTCCTGCGCGCTCTCGCCTGCCTTGGTTGAGCGCGCACCCATCTCTGCGTTGTGGGGTGTGCGTGTGTGCGTTTGGTGTGCGCGCGCGCAAAAGCCGCCTCTTCGCAATGCCAGTTTGGTAGGCGCATTCAGCTCAGGATCGGTGCCTCTCATGTTGGCTGGAGCCGCTGTGTTTGCGGGGTAGGGTGGATGATAATGGGCACTGCCACGGTAGAGATGCTATTCCGAGAGGCGGGAAGCATCTTAAGCTAGCTGTAAGCACCGGAGATCATCATGCACCAAGACGGGGAGAGTCGGAGGGCCTTGCATAGGCCCACTGGGTTTCCCCCAAATGCAAGCAGCGTCAGAAGGTTGCTTTAGTGTTTTGAGTGGACAGGGTTAATCGGCCTTCTAGAAAAACAAAACAGATAAATGGCCCCCCTCCCCATCCTTCAAGAGAAGGAGGCACCATAGCTCAGTTGAGAGATCAGGCCATGGTCCTTGTTCCCCAGTTAGTCTTGCTCTGATACTAATTTCTGTGCCCCACCAAAACACTAGGCCAAGGAACTTTAGCTACTGTCAGTCTGCGAAGGCAACACTGAGCCAGATCAGTGGTCTGATTTTAGTATAAGGCAGCTTCCTTTGGGTGACAGGCAGGGGCTAAAAAGATGTCAGTGTATTAAACCTGACCTCCAGGGTTTAATTTATGCCTGGGCTCAGCCCTGGAATTTGCTTTCTAGGCTGCATCTTGATCCTGGACCATAAGATGGAAAAGCAGGACACCAGTAACCTTTGCAGGCTGCCTCACGTGGTCACGATCAGGAGTCAGGTCTTTTAGGGCAACTTGTAAAGCTTATCAGGCAAGAGAGAGCAGAAGTTAAGTGCTCCTGGAAGCCATAGTGGTTCCTGAATGCCCACTTTAGGAGTGGATGGCTGTGGATTTCCAGAGGGTCAGATGGACATGCTCAGTGGTGTGTTTGACTTCGTGTGTATCAGCTTTAATTTAAATTAAGCCTGGGAGCTTCTGTAGTGGTGGCTAGGTAGGAAAATGTAAGAAGTGCTTGCCTAGAATCTGAGGTGCCCTCTGTGCTATCAGAGAAAATAATTGAGAGTTTGTTCAGTGTGGACACACACACACACACACACACACACACTGCTGCCCAGGAATGTATGTAACCTACTTGTGCACAAGGGCTCTTGGTGTCATCTGCATGGATGAGCAAAGCTGGTGTTCAAGAAGAAGCCACAGCCTGTAACAGTACAGGTAGGGACATATTACCTGTAAAGGCACCCTATCTTCAGAAGCGAACATGTGCCTGAGCGTATGTTTGAAAATGAACGGGGAAGGGCAGGCCTCATGCACACAAATGGTGGATCTGACGTTGGAGAGGCAAGGAAGCCCAGTGCTCCAGAATCACCAGAGGTTCCAGCTGCAGGCCAGAGCAGTCCCTGTTCCAGATGGATTGGCTGCCTGTGCTTTTAAGGTGGACTAGTCCTTTTGATGCAGTGCTCCTCCCTCCTTCCCAACCCCCACCCCTCCAGCAGCCGTAGCTAGCACAGCACACCAGTCATCTCAGTGTCCCGTAGATGCCAGCCTTGCACGAGGCCAGATTCATGCTGTGGAGGAGTCCTTGCCAAGGTGCTGCTAAGTCTTTACTTTGACATTTATTGTCGTGATTTGAGGCTGGGATCTGCATTGCCCAGCACAGGCGTAGCTGTTCTCTCCTATTTGAGAAGGAGGGGAGGCACTGGAGTCTCGGGGAGCCGTGCACAGGCCCTGTTGCAATTCCCTCCCGCATACCAGTTGCAATGCTTTCTATGCAGAAACCCTCAATAGCATACTGAGGTGCATGTATCCATAGCCATCCTCATCTTATTAGGGACTTCTAAAAACACACCCAGAAAGGATATTTATAGGTAAAGATGAGCTACATTTGTAAGAACCATCCTGGCCTTCTCTGCTGGAATGGACAATTTTTATTAAGTATCTTAAACAGGATGTTAAGGCTGCTGGTGGAGGCATTGCCTTGAGAAGCCCTTGGTACTGAGGACCGTGGGATCAGTAAGACAGGGTCATATAGTAGGTTCACTTGGAACACAAGTAGATCCCTGCTGGATCAGACCAGAGGCCTATCTACTCTAGCTTCCTGTTCTCACAGTAGCCACCCAGTTGCTTTTGGGAAGCTCACAAGCCGGACATCAGGGCAATGCCCCTCTCCCGCTGTTACCTCCCAGCAGAGGCATATATTGGCCACCGGTTTATGGCCACCTGTAACTGGAGCTTTTTGTCCTGCAGGTGTGTGAATATTGCACTGGTCTCTGCTGGAATTATACTGTTCTCATGTACAGCAGAATATTCAGGGAGATCTAGCCAGCTCTGTGACCTCTTCCTTCTGGCCAGCAGCCAGCAATCTCACCAAGTACCAAGGTTGTCCCAGGTGGAGGTCTGGCACTGTGACCTTGTCTTTGTTACAGAGTTCTCTGTGCTCTGCATTTAGAAAGTGTCTGCAATTCTATACTTTTTCGGAAGCAGGTTGTGTGTGTGTGTGTGTGTGTGTGTGTGTGTGTTTGCACTCAGTTAATTCTAGGAAAGCTGGATCTTTGTACAATTATGCAAATCAAAGCATATTATGCAAATCAAAGGTGAGCCAAAATTGGATAAGATGAGGTAGGCTCTCTCAGATGGCATATTTTGAGGTACCATCAAGGGGAACCAAATTGTCAGTGGTTTTCTTATTACCATTTTTCTTTTTTTAGATCTCCTGGGAGATTTTTTGGGTCATTTTGCATTATACTTTCTTCTAACCAATGGGAAGGTGCAGAGAGCTATGCACAACCCTGTAAATCTTCTCCCTGGCAACTGAATATCCTGTTCATCTCCCACTGTGGCTTTTGAAATTTCATGGATTCCCCGCCCCCCGTCTATTCATTACATTTATTTCTCTGCTTTCCTCCGCGTTACTCAGAGCCACATACCTTGGCCCTCTGCTATTTTTTCTTCACAACAACCCAGTGGGCTAGGCTACGCTATAGGATAGTAGCTGAACCAAGCGAGTTTCATGACTGAGTGTGGATTTGAACCCTGGTTTCTCAGGTCCTGTCCCAGTACTCTAACCACTTAAGCAGTCTGTCATGACACATTGCTTAACATTACAAGCCTGCCTTCATGGCAATAAAGGTTAGAAACATACTTTAAACATAAATATTTCCCGGAAAGCTGAATTCAGTGCCTATTAACAAATTTCACCCTTGTACAACATGATCATTTGCAGCCTTTTTTGTGGGCATTTAGTTAATGTCAGCTTGCTGTTGACCTAATCACGCTGAAATTTTGTAGTTCCTTAGAAAATCCTGTTTTTAATTAGCAGATTTGGGGGAAGAGTAAACTGGGAGGGGGGGAGCTTGATCTCCCCTGTTGCTGCCATATTGGCAACTGCAAAGTTGTTCTTCCTGGGCTTGTTTTAGCTCAGTCACACTTCCTTGATGGAGCCACCAACTGGGACACGTGCATTCAAAGAAGGGACAAAGGACATTCCCACTCAACCCATGTTTCACGGGCTGCTTCATTTCCTGTGTGGATTCAGCCACCCACCTGCTTACCCAGTTACACTTCCTTTTTTCTTCTAACTTGTGGCCACCACTTCTGAATGTAAACTTGACAGTCTTAATGTAATTTGTGTTTTTAATAATGGGCCTGCACATAGATAAGTAGAAAGGCTTATCTATGTGCCTTGTCAAAGATTCAGAAGGCCTATAGCTCAAGGTAATATATAGTTCAGTTGGCTGAGTCCCAGATGGAATATTTTGGGGCTACTGCCTTAGAATATGGATAATAACAAAGGAAATGATCCAGACAAGCATCACACAAGTGGCAAAAGGGTCCATTCAAACCCAAAACTTTAGTATAGGGCCATTATGAGGAAGACGTTAAGCAGTGGTCAACTGTATTGAGGCTAGAAGACTGACATTTCAGGCATTTCCTGTGATTGGCTGGCCTGTGGGGTCTCTTCTGACTAAACAGTTTAATGCTTACTGGTATTGATTTGCACCTGCCTTACGGTGTATGGCAGGCAGGTGGAAGGTAAACAGCAGCCTACTCAGACCAGGGTCCCTGTTTCTGACAGAGCACTCAGTGCTTGTTGACTGATGGGCTTCTTACAAAGAACACTTGGCCTTGATCTGACCTGATGTGAAGCAAGAGAACAGATCCAGGAACACAGCTTAGTTGCTAGCTCTTAACCTTAACTGTTAATGGCTGCCGATCATGCACTCTGGCTCTGTACATTTAAAACACACCAACAGGGTTGGCAGCTGACAGGGGCTCTCGGTAACGTGAAGGAGATCCACGCGAGGCTGAAGCTCAGCCCACTTCTTAAGTTTCAGCGGCTGGTTTGGGCTCTGATAAGAAGGCTGGCTTAGTGTAAGCAATAATGAAAGCTTGCAGGCTTATCTCTTAATGCCTTGATATGGTGGGGAATACCCTCTCAGCTGTGTTTGAGGTGACAGTGAGATACTTTTAAAGGAGAAATGGAGTTGTTCCTCAGTACAGAGTTCCTCAGAAAGGTCTAATCCCAAATAGGTCCTGTTAACATTTGGGGAAGCTCTGATGACACTTTGAAAGGCCATTCTATGAACGGTGCTTACAGAGATTCCCAAGTTAAATAGGGTGCACACTAGCCCAAAGTGGGCAACAACAGGCCTCTCTACCTGGCCCTTGGTTGCACCCTCCCTGCCTAGGCCACGTCCCCTGCTGCCCTCTTCTGCAGCCTCCTCCTCTGTTTGCCTGGGTGGAATGTGGAATACTTCTTGCTGCATGTGTGCCTGTCTAGAATGCAGCCTAAGTGTACAAAGGCAAGACTCAGATCACCTCATCCCCACAGCTTGTGATCTGCTGCAGTATACATGCAGGAGGAATTCTCCCTCTGGAGTGATTGTGATTTCCCGAAATAGGGTTCTGGGATCAGTCCATTTATGAAATATCCTGGGAATAACATACTTACTTGCCTTGGATTATGGTGGCCTAGCTACTGGCAGGCATCAGAACTAACAAGCAATGAACTAAGCAGGCAGGAGGAGGGCGGAGATGTAGCTGATGGTGGGGCCTTTACCTGATGCAAGTGTCAAAGTTCAGGTTTTAGCTTAGGGCAACCTGCTTTGCGCTTGGTGGTCCTTAAGATGCATTGGAAACAGCTTTGCTATGAATGGGAGGTTGTTGGTTGGCATCCATTACCTGGGGGTAGGGGGTAAGCGAAGGCAGAGAAGGAGGAATCAGCACACATCTTGGCAGTGGTGTGTGAGGCACCATGTGGAGAGCAGTCCCTTGAGGGGTGAAGCTGTGACATGTGTGGGCAGGAGGCTTCTGTGATGGTTTGTGGATGAGCAGAGGAGTGCTGTTGGGCTAGCAGTGCCATCAGGAGGAGAAGTGAGGTAGTGCTCTGGTACTTGTGCTTTGCTGTCTTCTCTTGGCCTCTCCCTTTTGTGCCCTGCTGTTTCGTGAGTCCTCCCTTTCACTGCCACAGCAGCAGCAGCAGGTCTGGAATTTGGTTTGCTCCATCCCTGGAAGTTTATTGCCTCAGTCGGAAATGGCCAGGGCGATGGGGGTCCACAGCTTTGGTTGCAACCTGTGCAAGGAGCATGCCTGAATGCCGTAAGCCCAGCCTGATCTGTGAGTGTTCAGTGCATGAATGAGAGTGGGCACATGTGATGGTGAGTGTGCGGGCAGTACTGTGGCTGCATGAAAGGGGGCACATGCCCACTTGGTAGTCACAGGCTTAGATTGCTGGACAGCGGTAGGAGGCTGTACAATACACCCAATTTAACCAAAAGCTTTCCTCCCCTCTACTTTGCAGTTGCAACTGGTGGGAAGCCAAGTCAAGCCGTAGGCTTTTGTGTTCAAGGGGAGGGCAGTGTTTGCAGTCAGGGTCTAAGCTCTACACCCCTTCATTGGACCACCAGTGGCTTGTGCTTGTTAGCTGGGGAGGGGCTTAGAGCAGGCAGGGTGGGTTCTGCAAAATAGCACTTGTCTGTCCCCTCCTACAATCAATGGCATTGTCTGTCTGTTTGCAGGGAGCGAGCTCCTGTCGGAAGTGCTGTTGGCCCTGCAAAGCCCCGAGCCAGCAATGGGAAGAAGTTGGGCTGGGTGCTGGTGTTACTGGTCGTGTTACCCCAAGTATCCAAGAACTCAGGAGTTTGAAGAAGAGAGCACAGGCCGTGCCCATGAGCCTTCCCAGCACTCTCCTTTCCTCCCTTGGGCTCCTTTAGGAGCCAGAACTCCCCCCTCTCCGTGAAAGGCCCAAGCCTGCGCCCCAGTCTCTGGCCAACCTCTTCCATGGCTGCAGTTGTGGAGCACCCCCGGGAGGCCGCGTAACTCACAAGGGGCTGAGCTGCTGCAGACCCTGCTTCCACTGCCTTGACTGAAGCAGGGCCCTGTTGGTGGTGGCCCCTGGATTGTACTGTGGCTGAAAAGAGCACCCTGCACAATCTTTGGGGAAAAGGCAAAACTGGACGTACAAGGAGAGCAGAGGGGAAGCTTGTGATCCCATCAACATGACTGGGCAGCAAGGGAGGAAGCAGAGCAGGCAAAGGCACCCGCAGAACTCAGCCTAGTCCCTGCCTCTTTGCAGAAGACCCAAAAGTGGGGGGAAGAGAGAAAGAGTCTCCTGCCCACCCCCCAAGCTGGAACTGAATAAACTCCTTGGCTTCAAAGCTCGTAGGGCGAAACCTCTGCCAGTCCTCCGGAGCGAAGATGGTGATGTCCCACGGCACCTACACCTTCCTCACCTGCTTTGCCGGCTTCTGGCTGATCTGGGGGCTCATTGTGTTGCTATGTTGCTTCTGCAGCTACCTGCGGCGGCGCATGAAGCGGCGGCAGGAGGAGCGGCTGCGAGAGCAGCACCTGCGCACCCTGGAGATGGAGCCCCTCCATTACGAGGGCTATGGGGGCCCTGCCTATGGGGGCTCCGGCTACGGGGGCGGGTACATCAGGAACCCACCGGGCATCGCGGTACCTCACCGACTCCGGATCGAGCCCCATCGCCCTCACCTCCCACCCCCGAGGCCGTGGAGCTGCAGGCATGGTAAGGGCACCCGAAGGGGACTGAGCCCACTCCTGGTGCAGAATACAGTCGCGTTTGGGAGGAGCGCTGCTTCTGCAGGTGGGTAGCTGGCTGGCGAGAACAGAGGAAGTCAGGCCATTGGTCCATCTAGCATAGGACGGGCTGTACTGGCTGGCAGGGGCTCCCCAGGGTTTCACGCAGGGATCTCCCCGCCCTCTCTGGAGATGCTGGGGATTGAACCTGCAACCTTCTGCATGCAAGGCAGATGCCCCACCACTGAGCCACAGCTAAGGGAGCCAAAGCTGCCTCCAGTAGGCTGAAATGGTTCAGCCTTCACCCAGAGCTTGCAAAGTTTCAGCTCCCTTAATGGCAGCTTCCAACAAAATATGAAGGAATGAAACAAAACATTGCTTTGGGCTACCTTCAGAAGCCTTCTAAAAGTCAGATAGTTGTTTATTTCCTTGACACCTGACACAAGAGTGTTCCACAGGGTGGGTGCCACTGCAGAAATGGCCCTTTGCCTGGTTCCCTGTAAATTCACATCTCGCAGTGAGGGAACTGCCAAAAGGCCCTCAGAGCTGGACCTGTGTCTGAATGATGGGGGTGGAGAAGCCCTTTCAGGTATGCAGGGCTGAAGTGGGCAGGATCTCAGGAAGCTTATTTAAGAGGAAGGTGAGGTCAGAATGCCCATTCCGTGTATCCAAAGTCTTGCACCATCCCTGATCCCATTTGCTTGCCTGTGAAGTGTAGGTCTGTGGTTGTAGCCAGCTCTTGGGTTGTGATAATAGAGCTTAGGGTGTTTGTGTCTCTGTCTCTCCCCAAACCTTGCTCGGGACAGGTGAGCTTGTATTTTGTATGCCTGGGGGGAAGAGAGCAGGCAGTGGTGGGATGGCACGCTTAACTGTCTCAGTTCCTTGCACTCGGTCACTGTGATTGCTTTGCTTGCAGAACCAGATCCATCCAAGCCACCTTGCTACGAGGAAGCAGTGCTGATGGCTGAGCCGCCGCCGCCTTACAGCGAAGTGCTGACGGACACGCGCGGCTTGTACCGCAAGATCACCACCCCCTTCCTGAGCCACGAGCAGCCGGAGAAGCAGGAGCAGCCGCCCAGCTACAAGCCCCTCTTCCTGGACCGGGGCTACAGCTCAGCGCTCCACCTGCCCAGCACAGCCAGCCGGGGCCCCACCTGCACCAACCTCTACTTGGAGGCTGAGCACTCGCAGCGCATCTTCCCCAGCTGGACAGACTCAGAATTCAGCGCCAGAGACAGCTATGAGCCGGGGCCCTGGCACCTGCCGGTCTCAATGCCTTTGTTTGGCAGGACTACTGCAGTTTAGCACGCCATGCCGCGCCCTGGGTGGGACTGTGGCTGCTGCTGCTGCTGCACACAAGCTGGAGGATCCCGGCAGCCTGTTTGTTCCCTTGGTCTGCGGGAGCCACCCAGCCTCTCAGTCCGAGCCTTCCAGCCATGTCTGGGCCATGAGCCCTCGCAGTGCAAATATCTCTTCCCCCCCCCAGTTGCTCTTTGACCTCCTGGCCAGGGTGAGATTGGGGCTGGTCTCCCCATCTCGCCCACTTCCCTTTTTCTGGGCCCGCTACAGGCTCTGTTGGTGCTGACTGCAAGGGGGCCTTTGGGTTCGTTTCCTATTTTTCGTTTGTTACATTTTGAAAATAATAAAAGTTTGTGGAACCTGATTTATTACAAACCTGGTGCTGGGTGGTTGATGAGTCTGTGCTGCGAAAACGGTGGGTGTGCTGTGCTTTTAAAGAGTCCCATGTGCACTGTGGCAGGAAGTGAAGCAACCCCATTCCTAAATAATCCCACAGAATTAGGAGGATGGAGGCCTAGGCGTGCTCCAGAAACGCATTCCTTTGTTGGCAGCGACATCTAGTGGTGAGTTCTCCTGCTCAGGCTATGACTTCATGCAGGGCCCACTACAGACCACACAATGCCACGTTCAAAGTGTTCCAGTTGCTTAAAATAATAATTCCCCTCAGCTTTCATACCCCTACCCTATCAAAGTACATTTTTGGCCCCTAAAAGCAGCTACTGAAAAAACTCTGAATAAAAGACCAGCTGTTTTGGTCTGTGGAATATGCCCACCCGACCACCCGGTGGTCTTGCGTTGCCTCATTAATCCTGCCCCACCTTTGAAAGCAAAAAAAAAAAAAAAAAAGGCACCTTGTACTACAAAGCCAGCTGCCCTGCTTGGAATCAATTTATTTATTAACATACATAAGCACATTGCTGTTACAGAATTTGTGCTTTCAAAAAAACAATTACTGTACGTGAGAGAAAGGAAACCAAGCATGGAATGAAAGAGGAAAGAGGGTAGAGAAAGAGGAAAGGGTTTTTTGGGAGGGGGGAAGAGCCCACCCAGAGTCTCCCCTTGTCCCAGGCTCTCAGGGCAAATAAAGGCCTAAGGAGAAGGGTCTGAAATGGGCTTATTTCTGAAACAAGAGGGGCATTTGGGCACAGAACTCTGGAGGGGGTAACGTTCCTTGCTGCTAGAGCCCAGAGATGGAGGGGGCTCTCCTTCGCTTCCCTGGGTGCCTCAGGTGTGTGTTGGGGGGGACCAAACAGAGAAGTGGGGGGGATGGGAGCCAGAGCCTTGCCCACACAAGGGCCATTTTATTGCCATATTTTATTTTAAATTCGTGCAAAATACTCAAAACTCTGGGCAGAGTCTGAGAGGAGGAAGCGACCCTCCCCACCCACCCCCAAGAGCAGCACTCACAGGAGATCAACCCAGATGGTATACATGGCATTTGGGGGGGGGTGTCAGAAAAAACCCAATGGGCAGAGGCAATTGGGAGGGGGAAGGATCTGCAGGGAAGCTACCAACAAAGAGGGGGACCAGGCAGATTTACACGTTTCCTATTTGACAACATTAGAAAAACAGGGAGAAGAGAGAGAGAGAGAGAGAAAGAGAAAGAGAGCTGGAAAAAGTTACCCCGGAGTACCATGGAGAATATCCTGTCTGGCTGGGGCACAATCTTAGGCCCTGGACCGCAGGGCTACAATACGGAGCAAGCAGGCACCAGGCCCTCACTGCGGCTGCTCCAGGCTTGCACTCGCTGGGCTCGCTGGGTGCAGGATACAGGAGTCGGGCAGGGGAGCTGGCCTTAAACGCTGCCCCCAAAGTTCTCCTCGTCTTCTGGCACTGGGTCCGCATCCCAACAGGTGATATCAATCTCTGAGGGGGGAATCAAATGCATGACCTGTGAGGGAGGGTGGCTGGCTCTTTCCCCCCTTTCAAAAGGGGTGGTCCCCAAAGCCCTGCTCTTCTAGGGGTCCCCAGAAGAGGAAGCGCAAAGGTGGATCTTCCCATCCTCCCTCCCACCTGCCCATCCATCCCTGATCCTCACCTGGGGGCTTATTGTAGAACACTGGAGGAGGAGCTTTAGCAGATGGTTCTTCTGATTGGTTAAAGTCTTCATCTTGTGATTGGCTGAAATAACCCTCGCTGGTCTGGAAGAGAAAAGCAAACCGTGGCATGTGCTGTGCTTTCGAAGGTGTCCCTATTCTTTCCCTTCCCAGTTAACCCAGAGCAACAATCACTTTCTGGTTTTGTACTCAGACAACGAAGGCCTGAGGAGTAAAATGCTCAAGCTACCCATGAGCTAGCACGTGTGAAAGGGTCCAAAAGTTCGTGGAACATCATCATTCTTCAACATTAATAAATAAACAAATATTTTGTCTGTGCGTGTATAAATAAGACATGAAAGAAGATGTGTCATGCCTAGGGAAGGTTTTAATGTTTGATGTTTTACTGTGCTTGGGTGTTTTAATTTGTTGCAAGCCACCCAGGGGTGGCTGGGGCAACCCAATCAGTTGGGCAGCACATAAATTACAAAAGTATTATTATTATTACTTCTCCAGTGGCAGGGCCCAAAGGAGACACACTTTAAATGAACACACAGCAGCAAGCTGTGGTACCTCATGATCCTCTGTTTTGATCTGCAAGGCAGGGCCAGGAGCTTTCAGAAGTGCTCCCCAGGCCCTGCTGCCAGCCTGAGCGCCTCCCTCCTCACCTGCGTGCTTTCCTTTTGGGCTGTCTCCCCGTTGGTGAGCAGCTGGGGCTCTTGGTGCACCCCGGAAGCTTCCTGCAGAGCATGCTGGTAGCTGAGGGTCATCTGGTGCAGCCCCTCAATGGCAATGATGCTGGCCGGCTCCTCATCCTGCTCAGCGTCACAGAAGGTGGCCGGGGGCTCGGGCAGGTCGTTGAAGTTCAACAGGTTGTCTTCCAGGAGGCTGGCGGAGGGCGGGGGCTCCACCGCCCCTGGGGGGGCATCCACCTCGACCAGCATGGGGGCGGCGGCGGGAGGCCCGTCGTGAAGCTCCCACGGGGCTGGGGTGGGGGGCCCGCCCTGGAGCTCCCAGGCGGCGGGAGGGGTGGGCTCGGCCGCGGCGCTGTCGTTCTGCCACAGGTCGAGGATGTTCTCTGACGGCGGGGCGGGGGGCTGGGAGAACCCAAAGGCCTCACCCAGATCCAGGGCACCTTCGCTCTGCATGGGCAGAGGGGCTGCTGGGAACAGAGGCTCTTCTTTGGGAGGCGGGGCGTCTGGGAACAGAGGCTCGTCTTTGGGCTCTGGAAACACCAGGTCTTCCGTGGGGCCAGCCCCGCCTTGCTGCGGCTCTGCCCAGTCCGCTGCCTGCCAGGCTGTGGCCCCCACAGGGGGTTCCTCGGCCTTCTCCATCGGAGGCTCCACGCTGGCAGGGGCCCAGCTCATTGCAGATGCCACTGCTGTCTCGTCACTGCTGGGGCTGGAGGAGTCTGCAGCAGGGAGGAAGCGAGAGAGGAGGTTCCTCAGCAGACCTGGAGGGAGGGAGCCCGCAGCCCGAGGACCCAGGAGGGGGGCAAGCCTATAGGGGCGAGGGGGCTGCACGTACCTTTCAATGCACCCTGCTGCGTTACCTCATCCAGGGCCCGCTCAATCTGCTCCCCAACAGGCGTCGAGGCTGTGCTGGAGTCGCAGGGGCTACTGGCGGAGGCAGAGACCTTTCTGTGCGTTTCCGACTGGCTGCCTGTGAAGGAGCCACACGGGCACTCAGGTGGGGAGCCCACAAGTCAAAGGCCACGACACCCCCCTAGCCACAGGGCCCGCCAGTTGCGCTCCCAAGCACGCAGGGCAGCTCCGTTCGAACAACAGCGACGGCAACAAGGCACCAAGACGACTCCTCCTGAAATGTGCCATTTCCCCAACTTACCCAGTCGACAAAATTAACCAGCTGCCCTTAAGCGACCCTAACCCTACAGCAAGTTATATGGCATAAAGGTTTCGCTTTGCTTTTTGTGGACAAATGTGTTGGAAACTGAAAGAGTGAAGAAAGAAAAAAGCCCTCTTTTGTGGTGGGTGGAGGCAGAACTCTTGTGTCATGTACAACCATGGGGGCCCTGAAGTTCTCTATCTCAAATGGCACTTAAAATTGGGAATGAGGAAACCGTGGCTCTCCCAGCTCCCATAGTCCACAGCAACCATGGCCAATGATCAGGAATGATGGGAGTTGTAATCCAGCAACACTGGGAGGCCAGTTTTGCCACCCCCTCCTTTATAGAATAGGATGTATCCTCCCCTTTTTACTATCTTTGGAAGCAGAGTCTACAGAAAACCATAACACCCCTCCCCACTGCAAACATCAGGCGAAGGGACAACTTTAGAAGGTCATCTCTGTCCCAGACTTAGTACTCCCATCACAAACCCAGTTCGCCCAGTATATCCACCCTACACCCTGGTTCAGGGACATCCCCTGTTCTGCAGTGCAACTGCCCCCTGCAGCATGGTGTGTGTGTGCCTGTGTGCATACTGTTTGTCTCTCTGTGTGTGGATATGTGTGTGTGGTTCATCTTCTGTTTGCATAGATTTTGGCTCCCCCTTTTCTAATCTGGGGAAACGGATGCTTTGTTCTAAAGTCACTATCGGTCTAACTGGTTTTCATATGAGGCTCTCTGTTGACTGCCTCCACCCTGCCTATAGGGCATCAATACACCGGCCTGCAAATCCATGCTTTTAGCTACTGATGTTGGGAAGTCCCTGTTGCGGCCTACCTAACTGAAGCTGTTTTTTAAAAGGTGAACAAGGCAGGGGCATAGATGTGGGGCGCCAAAGGGGAAGTTTCCGTCTTATATACAAAGCCAGCCCTCCCGAGGGTGGTAGCTGCCGAAGCATAACGCTAGGCCCCTCTCCGCTCTTTTGGGGCTACACTCCTGCCATGCAGTGAACACGAGAGAGAGCAGGCCGTGCCCTGGTCCAGTCTGCGGGGCCAGTGTTTCTCGGACACTCATGGACTCTTAGTCCTTCCTTTCAGAGATGCCTGCGGAGTGAGATTGGGCGTGGCCAAAGATACAAGGTGTGGGGCGGGTGGGCAAGGCCCCCGAAGCAGCTGCCTCCCCAACCGACTCCCCAAAGCCCGGCCGGGGCCTGGCTACCTACATGGGAAGAAGGAGGAGAGGTTTGGTGTGCGGTGGCAAGAGATATAGGGGAAGGGAGTCCGTGGAGGGGAGGAGGAGGAGGAGGAGGAGAAGGAAGGCGGCCCACTGTCAGGTGTCTTTATGAAAGGACAGTGCAGACGACCTGCTGAGAGAAAGACAAGACAGACGGACGGAGACAGAGAAAGCAGAAGAGAATGATCAGTCTCCCCTCCAGCTGCCCACTCCATCTCCCGCCCGCCCCCTGCTCATGCCACTGGGCAAGCAAGGCCCAC